CCCACCCCCCCCACCCCTAAAGGCGACTCAGCCAGACCAAGCCCCGCACTGGTATCCTGCCCCGCTTCCCCCGTGGAGCAGAGCCCGGTGTGCAGATGGCAGACTGTACCGTGTCGCTTATAGATGGGGGGTTTTCGGTAGATGTTACTCTCGCCGGCAGCTGGTGGCAGAAGAAAGAAAGGGAAGAAAGAAGGAAAGAAGAGAGGAAGGGGAGGTCAGCGTGGGCATGCTGAGAGCAGACAGGACAGAGGTCCTGCAGGAGATGCTATCCCCACGCCATGTTTCCATCACACCACCACCTTCAGGTCCACGCGTCCCACGGGAGTGCAGTGCCAGGCCAGGGCCAGGCAGGCTCCAGGATGGGCAGCAGGAGCGCAGTCCTGAGGCTGCCCTCAGGCAGCAGTGCGCACAGAGGACATGCAGTGAGAGCCCCAGCGTCAGCATGCACTGAAGGGCAGCGGGTGCTGCCAGCCGCGGGAGGGAGCGGCACAGCCAGGAACCACCGGCCACCCCTGCCAGCCGGCAGCAATGCACCACAGCTCACGCTGGTGCAGTTTCTTGGGGGAGCCAGCACCTGGAAGAACCACCTGCAATCTACCTGGGGGCAAAACAACATCAGCCAAAGCCTCTTTCCGCAGCAGAGAGAGAAAAGAGCGAGCTGGGAGGGAAAGCGAGCTGGAGCCTGGTGCTGAGAGCTATGGCCCCCACGCAGGGGCCAGGCAGCAGAGCTGGTGGAGCAGGGAGGGGGCCATCCATAAACCACTGACCGTCAGCGGGAGGGCAGGGCAGGCAGCAGGGCCAAACCCTGGCAAGGATGGGATGGGAGCAGGGGACCATGGTGGGGAGCCTCTGGGTGTCCTCATGGTGCTGTCCCAGGGCATCAGCTATACATTGTGGAGGGTTCCACGCTTTGGAGGACAAGGGCAGCGGAGGATGCCTACAGCTGAGCAGGGTGGTCTGGGGCTCTGCCCCCCCTGCACGTGCTGAAGGGTGGATTGGCAGCTCTGCCTGCTTCCCTCCCCACTCTCCCTTTCTGCCCGCTCCGTCCCCGTCCCCATGGGCTCTGTGTGGCCGGGAGCGGGTGGTGGCCCTTACCTGGTGGCCCCCTGCAATCCCTGCAGAAGGGGAGCAGGCATCTGGCAAGCCCAGAAGACTCTGGGGGGAGGGAGCGGCGGGCCCTAGGGGGAGTATAAAATAGTCATCTGTAGCAGATGGGTGTGGAAAGGCCTCCGGCAGACACACTTCGGCTCGTGATCCTGGGGGGAGGCAGGGGAAGGGGCAGACTCTCCGCAGGGGACTCATCTTCGTGTGGGGTGTGGAGGAAGGTCAGGGAAGAGGGAGAAGAGGGACGTCGCAAGGATCAAGCAGACTCCGGGCGGCTCTGGGATGTCCAGGTGGTGATGGGGAGGGAGGAGGGTTCAAGCTGCAGGTCCTGTTTATGGATGGCCTCTACCAGGGGTAGATCCTGCTGCCAGCTGGCTCTAGGCAGGCGGCGGAGCTACGCATGCGACACAGGGGGGAAGGCACATGCGGACATGCCACAGACACGGCGCTTCCCCGGGGACCGGGGCACTCCAGAGCCTACCTGGGATGTGGAAATGCTTGGGCGCTTGGTATGAGGTTGGAGTGGAGGACCTCACATCTAACTGGCTATAGTAGGGGGAGCTGCGCCCACTCTCAGTGCCTATGCGGTGCCGAGCAGAAGCAGCCATAAGTGACCAAGAGAGAGAACAAGAGGCAGAAGAAAACGGGTGTTAAATGCAGCAGTGTTAGAAGAGCGGGGGGCGACCCACATGGTGGGGGTGACAGGGACGTGTGCTGGGCCGTGGTCCAGGATGGGGCATGATGGAGCAGGGAGAGATTTCCCTGCATCTCCGGAAGAAGGCAGGATGCAGAGGAAACCCCATGTGCGGGTGCTGTTACAGGGCAGCAGGCTGCCCCACCGCTGGTGAGAGGAAAGCCGAGCATGCTGCAGAGGCAAACGGTGACGGGCCCTTGGCAGTGCAGCAAGGGGGTAGCTCGGGGAACGCGGGACCTCCAGACTTACTGACCTCGGATTTTCCCAGTCGTTCCTCCCCGGCTCCAAAGGACAGGAGACACGGCACAGACACACTCTGCTTCCCCCCCGACATACTCCAGGGCATGCACACATGTGTGTGTGTAAGGACCCTCCTTACAGCACTGGCTGGGCACAAGCACTCTCGTGCACACCCCTCCCAGAGCTACCAAGCCAGCTGAGGGGTCTTCACTGGACCTGGGGACCACCTCCCTCCCCACCCCATCCTCCATGAGCCCCAGCTCAGGTCTGAGCCAGGACAAAGCCCCCTTTGGCCTCTCCTTGCTGCTCGCAAGACAAGAGTCAGGGGAACCAGAGGATGCACTCAGCAGAGTTGGTCACCGCCCCACAGGTCCTGTTGCTGTCAGCCCCCCACAGACACGCCCCCCCCAGGCCTCCTGCCTGCTTGCTAGAGGAGGGACCACCGAGGTCCCCTGGGAGATGCAGGGGACAGTTTGATGATCCCGCTCCACATGGGGGTCTGAGCTTAGCCTAGCCTGGGGTTGCAGCTGAAATCCTCACCTGAGCGGTAGAAATGGTGGGGGGATCTCGGGATGGTGGGGGACATGCCCTGGCGGCTGTAGGTGGGGGAGTCGATGTAGCCAGGGCTGGAGGCTCGCCTCTGCCGTGTGTCAAAGCTCTCGTAGATGTCCTGGGGACAGGGAAAGGTGTGGAGAGAAGCAGCGTTAGAGCTGGTGGGATGAGGCAGGTCAGTGCCTCGGTAGCCCTGTGGGGAGGTGTCCCATGGACGGGGGTCCCTGTGCTTGTGGCAGCCTGGGAGGGTGCATGCTCTGTGGTGTGACATGCCAGGCAGCGTGCGTGTCATCCTCTGTGGCTGGAGGGGGTCCCCAGGCTGCTCTGCCTCCCTGCTGCCAAAGTGCAGGCAGCAAAGCCCAGGGTTTGGGACCAGGTGACAGTGTTCAGCCAGAGGCTTTCACCGCCTTGCCTGGAGATCGTCCCCTTCCCCTGTGCTTGTTCCCAGTTACTGGCGTCCCCCTCCATGGGGCAGAAGCTGTACCCTGGGTCCACTCTGCCAGGGAGGGCTTGCATGCTGCTCTTCCCGGGGCCCAAAGGACAGGACCCTCCTGGCCCGGGTCTCCTCATCTCCCCGCACCTCAGGGCAGCACCGGGGTGGGGGACGCTCAGCAGAGCCCCGGCGGTCCCTGGGCAGAGGGATGCCCTACAGCGGCAAGCAGGTGACAGACCCCCTGGTGCCCGCCGGGGGCATTACCTGCGAGTACGGGGAGAGGGTCCCCAGGGACTGGAGGCGGCAGGAGGCAAGGGGGGAAGAGAGAGACAGCACACAGTTAAAGGGAGCAGTGACAGACAGGGGTCCCACAGCGGCTTGTTTTCCCCATGTTACAGACTCATCACAGCTGCCAGGCAGTAAGGCAGCTGGTGGCACAGCCAGAGCCGAACTGTGGCAGGACGCTGGGCAGGGAGCCCCTGGCCGGGGGGGGAGCTGGCATGAGGATAGCACCTCCAGAATGGGCAGCCTGCACCCCTTCTCAGAGACTTCGGTGGTGCAGTTGCAAGGGGGGGAAGGTGGCTGCTGGCCCCGCGGTGCTCCACAGCGGGCCACGGCCATGCTGCCTGCACCATCACCGGGTGTGCTGGAGGAAACCAGACTTGTGACAAGCTTTGGGACTAGAGATGTAAGAGATGCTGCTGCTGGCCATTACAAAGTCTTCTTCCAGGACCACCTCAGGTCCCCCATCTCTGTGTGAGCTGCTCAGACCCTCTTCTTCCACGGACTTACTGAAATCATCCAGCAGCCCCAGTCTGCCTGGGGGAGCGGGGCAGGGCAGTCCCGTGCCATGTGCTGCTTGGGCATCATCTCATCACATGCTCGCAAAGACACACTGATCAAGCCCCCTTCCCGACTGCGGGGCCAGCACCCAGCAGGGGCAGCCCTGCTGTGCTCCAGAGATGCCATGCTGGGGCTGGGTGGCCAGGAGGATTGCCTGCCAGGGGCTAGGCTTTGGGCTGAGCCTGCTGGCCGTTTGTCCCTCCACCCTGGAAAGATGCACATGTGCTGCGTGCCCGCCTCCTCTCCTGCTGCGGGCTGCGATGGGTGAGCTCCCTGCCACATCACTCCTGAGGGTGGCATCTCTTCCCGTGCAGCGCTGTCTATCCCTGCACATCCAGTCTGCAGCACAGTGTGGGCAGGGCGCTGCCATCAGCTGATAAGGTCACTGGTTTCTTTCTTACTCTACAGCAGCAGCACCAAGACTTCTCTTCCAGCCCAGGCCCTTTTCCCAGTGACAGGGAGCCTCCAGGAGAGGTCTTATCCCCGCTCCTGCCTCCCTACAGTATTCCCATCGGAGTGAGCAAACGCACATGCAGTTTTCCCCATTGCCCCGAATCGGGGTCCGGCTCCCTGCGCAGCCTGGCACTGGGCATATCGAGACTCAGTACCTCCCCATAGCTATATCGCTCCAGCGTCTCATCCGATGTGTATCTGTGATAGGGCTCGTAGGAAATGAGGTCAGGACGCTGCACTTCATAGATAGCTTTAATCTTGGGAAGAGCTGCCAGGTCTTTGTAATTAAGGATCTCATTATCCACTTTAGCCTAGGGAGAGGGAGAGACAGAGACAGAGAGATGGAAAGGAAGAGGAGGAGAGAGGGGAGGGGAGGCTGGAGCACACAGTGCAGAGCCAGCACAGAGCAGACAGAGCCCACTGTCACCCTGGCAGCAGGAAGAGGTAAGAGGAGATGCCCAAGAGGCAGCAGTGGGAAGAGGCAGAGGAGCTGGGAGGGTGGGACTCTGCCCCTCTGAGTGCTCCCAGTCTGTGCCAACTGCAGTGCCAGCACAGCTTGTCTGTGCTGTCTGGGCTCATCCTCAGGGGACGCTTCACGCTGCAGAGTGGCATTGGGAGCTGTTACTCCCTTCCCTCCAGCCAGAACATCTGTCCTGCTTCACACAGACGAGGGGCAGAGCTGTACTTACGCAGATGACACGGTTCGGGGAGCCGATGCTGGAACCGGGGGGCGAGATGGAGGTTTCCGACGTCCTTCTGTGCTGTGGAGGCAGAAAAGCGCAGGACAGGTGAGAGCACAGTGGGGAGGGACTCCTGAGCAGGCACAGTGCTGGGTGCAGCAAGCACATCGTTGGTTTTGGGGCTGAATTTCACTCAAGGTCCAGTTCCTCTGCCCTTTCATCTGCTTGCTGCCAGTGCCCATGGCCATTGCAGGCTGCCCTGCGATCCAGCTTTGTGTCCTGGCCTCTCTCGGGGCCAGATCCAGAGTCAGGTGAGTGGCCCGGCAAGAGCCAGCAGGCAGCTGTCCCTGTGGCCAGCTGGGCGCAGAGAGGGAGCAACAGCTCGAGGGGCACAGGGGGTCGGCGAGAGGACTGCTGTGCCCCCTCCCTGGCTGTGGCATGGGCTGGTGACAGCCAGGAGGCAGGTCCCCGCTAACAGCCTCGGCCATGGCCACCCGCCATCCTCTGAGCAGCGGGGACAGAGCTCGTGCCAGCATTGGGAAGCCACCCTGGGCTTGGACATTGCCACAACAGTTCACCTCCAGCAGGGACTCAGGACTTGGGGGCAACATCACCTGGGATGTGCCACCTCTCAGAGATGCCCCTCACCCTGCTCCCTACCTTTAGCTTCTTCTCTGCTCTGGCCGCCTGCTTGCAGATTGGGTGCCACACTTCGGAGCCTGCAACACGGCAAAGAGAAAGTGTTTCAGCTCCACACACAGTTCACCCCTGCTGCTAGGGATCATCCAGCTCCCTCTGCCATGGGGGAGTCCCATCCTGTCCCTGCCACCTCCAGCACCGACCTGCAGCCCATGGATCCCAGGGAGGATGTGTTGGTGCTCTCCCCAGCAGCAGCTGCAGTGAGCAACCAGTGTTATAGGTGTGCAACCCCTGCATGTGGGGGGGGCAGCTCCTGGGGGGGACCCTGCAGAGGCAGGAGGTAGGAACTGGAGTCTCTCTGTGGAGAGCAGAGCAGGAACGAGGCGGTGAGCCCCGAGAATGCAAAGGAGGGGGTCACTTGCTGGGTCCCACCGGCTTTCCTGGGTGCCTTCTCCACTACAGCGCAGCCCCAAGCACATGCCCATTGGGAAGGCAGGGCAGTGGGGACTGGGTGTCTGTACTAAGAAACTAAACAGCGTCCGAGCACCGAGAGGTAGTAGCCAACACTGCTAAACTGTGACAGCAAACCCAGGCGTGTTTTTGCTGCAGCCCAACCAGCACTCAGCCAGGCAGCTCCTGCTGGTTAAACTTGGGGTAACACCGACCCCAGGGCACGCACAGCCCCTTGCATGCCCTCTGGGCTGGAACCAGCAAAGCTGCCGAGCTTCGCCCAGGTGTGCCCCGGGATGGATGCTGAACACACTCATCCTGCTGCCCATGACAGGGCCTTGCTGGGACCCCCACTCCAGCTCTCACAGTGCACAATTCTCCCTTTGCCACCCATGGGGTCATCAGTGACTCAGGGTGACAAGCAAGCACAGGTTACTAAGAGAAAACAAACCCTCCCTCTGCGCTGGAAATAGCCCCCAAGGCAGCTCCAGGCAGGGATGAGCTTCTTGCCAAAACCAAACCCAAACCCACTGGCTGTGCCAAGCGAAAGCCTTACCCCTCCAGTGTTGCTCGCAGCATAACCTGGACGGTGGGAGTTGGGGGCAGTGGGGAAGGGGTCCTGGACCACCTCCCCTGGGGCTGGGGAGAGCAGGGAGCCAGTCACCCTGCACCCATCCCAGCCTCTATTCGCTGGGCGCAGGCCAGGGACACATCCAGGCATGCCCGGCAGTGCTCCCCAGCTGTGCAGGGAGACTCGCAGGGAGCAAAAAGCTGCCAACAAGGAACAAAGTCTCCTCCAGCTCAGCAGCAGGGAAGGTTTCATGGAGAGAAATTATTGCCGCACGGCCCAGGAAGAGCTCAGGGGCTGGAGAGCAATGGAGAAGGGTCTCTGGCATTGCTGGTGGGCACTGGGACTCTGCTGTGCAGAGACACCCTTTTGGCTTTGATCGCCATAAGGACCTGAACCCCAAGTGCCCCCACAGCCAGCACACCTCCACACAGCCACACTGATCTGCCCCACTCGGGTCCATGCCCCAACGTGGGGCAGGGGAGTCCCTCCTCACCGCAGCAGGATCCCTACCTGTGAGGTACATCTCCTCTCCTTCCGTGAACATCTGGTGGCAGCGGACACATCTGGCACAGGTGGGGTGGTAGTGCTTCCCTCCTGCCTGCAAGGGCGAGCAGAGAAGAGGGGCCCCTGAGCAAGGCAGGACATGGCAACCTGCTCGCATCCCCGGCAGCCCTCTCTGCTGCAGGCAATGACGAGGTGAATGTGGCAAAACTGCTCAGAGTGGCCTCGGAGACCACTGCAGTGTACAGAGAAAACCAGAGACCACTTCATCACTAATGCTTCTGCAGGGCTACAAGCCGAACTGGGACCCTTCTGCTCTCCTTGAACTGTTCAACACACAGGAAAGCAGAGCTAGGAGGTCCCAAACAAGGTACCCCTACATACCTCACCCCTAATAAATTGTCCTTGGACTCTGGAAATAACTGAGACCCCCTGCAGTAACACTCAGCCAAGCAGCCATGCTTTGCACCAGCTCCTTCCCTCTACAGGTGTGAAGAGAAACAGCAAATTTGGCCCAGGATGTCACAGCAGGGGAGCAGTAAAGGGAGAAGGGCCCCAAAGATAAACCTCACAAAGCACAGGCTTCCTCTTGCTGTCAGATCCCCCCTACCATTGCCAGCCCCTCTCCCTAAAGAAACTTTTCTCCTTCTGTGAAGCCATGCCCAAACTTCAGCGCTAGTGACATGCTATTCCCCAGCTGAGCAGGAGCTGGGCTGCTCCCTTTGCTCTTTGACAGGGATAATAGCTTTAATTGGTGGCTTGTTTCCACTCAAAGTGTCTGCTAGCATTTCAATTATAGGCTCATTTTCTGGGCTGGGAGCTGGGAGGCAGGAGCTGGTTCAGGGCAGGAGGAATCTGGGCTGTGCTGTTAGAGCTCGACCCCAAAGGACATTTTACTCCCATAATAATCCAAGAGAAGAGGAAGGATAATTTAAGGCAGCAGAAGGAAGACGAGGCTCTGGCTGACAAAGGGGAGGGTTATGGTAGAGAGGGCTGGAGCCAGTTTGAAACAGGAAGGATCAACAGGAAAATGTGCTGCGAGGATAACTGAGAATCTGCCAGTTGATTGCCCATAAAAATCAACCTGGAACTCAATGTCTTTGGGGTACAGACAGCAGCCAGTGGCTTTTTCCCCTCCAGTTTATGCCAAAAATGAGTGGAACGTTTTAGGGCAGGCAGGGGAGATGAGTGGGAGAGTCTGGACCCCTCTTCCTTTCATTGCAGTGCACCTGAATCCAGGGAGGAGACAGCCCTGTGCCCCAGGCACCTCCCCGTGCCAGCTGGCAGCAGCACAACGTACTCCTGGGCTGGCCCAAGTGAGCCCACAACCCAAATATCCCAAATTCACACCCAAAAGCTTGATAACACAGCAGGAAAGTCACCAGTGGGAGGGCTATAGAGACAGACCCACTATGAACGCCAATGAGCAGCAAGGAAGGCGCCAGCCCCGGTCACCCAGGCTCTCCAGTGGGACAGGAGAGGTCCCTGCAGCAGCCCCAGCAAGCAGCTGCTCTGAGCCCCGGCCCAGCTGCAGCACCCCATGGCAGGGGCTTGCTCTGAATGCTTCGCCACCCTGAGCAAACACACCAGCTGGTTCCAGGCTATAGAGATTCTAAACTGGTTTTACCCCTAAAAGCCTCGTCTGGAGCCCCCGGTGTCATTGACATTGTGCCAGTGCGCTCATCGTGACTCACGCGCACTGCTCTAGGGAGGTGTCCCACTGGCCCTGCCAAGGCAGAAGCTCCAGCCAGTTCCTCCTGCTCTGCCCAAGCCCCCGTGCACATAACCCTGCCCGTGCCAGCACCCCCCCAGCAGGTACCCACCAGTCAGCGCCACGTACCCAGGACAGGCACACTGAGCTGCGTCAGTTGGAGTAGACAGCCATAAACACAGGGAGAAGAGGTTAAAACCAACTCAACTAAAGCCCAGCTCCTAAACACTATGGGCCAGTGTGCCTACAGTTCCCCACACTTGTATTTCCAGCTGGCTAGAGACAGCTAACGTTGGGGACACAGGGCCCTGATGATTGATGTGCCGCCTCCCCCCAGTCCCTCTCTGAATCTGGGATGGGTTTGGTGCTCTTGGACTCTCTTAGTACCCCCACCGGCTCGGTGTGCTGACAGTAAGAAAAAAAAAAAAAAATCTATGTATCTTTTCCTGTCTAGACTATATGGGCTGCTGTCACGGGTCAGACCAAGCCAAAAGGGGATGCTTTGCAGATCAGGGTGTGGATGTGGAGGGAGGCTGGCTGCTCCCCTGGCAGTAACATACCAGCTCAATCCCACCTTTCATTTCAATGCAGACCTTCTCCAAAAACCACCCAACATCTCAACACCCACCACTCCCCCTCGAGGAGTAACTCTCCAAACCGTGCATAAACCTTGTTCCTTTTATATTGGTTAATACTACAGCTCGTAAAAGGCTGGTAGAGGCTGTGAGGGAAGAGACCTGCTCGTTATCACTTGGGGTCCCTTAAAGACTCATTAATCATCCAAGCCTGGCTGCACAGCTCGGAGCAGCTGGGAAAGCCCAGAGGCTGCCGGGATAGCACGAGAAGGCTCCTTAAGGCCTAAAACTATTTAAAGGCGCCCTTTCCATTTTGCACTCTGCTGGAGAAGACAATTAAAGCCTCTGGTTTTACAGGAGATCGTTCAATATCGCGAGCAGGCACATACCCGGGGAGGGTGGGGAGTGCAGGCTCAGCCCTGGCCGCAGGGAGGTGAGGGGTGCCCACAGCACCCACAGGCTCCGTGGTGCTCGCCCAGCACAGCCCCCCCCAGCATCCAAACCCAATGCTCCTCTCGGCTCCGTGACGGTGCCTGCGAGGAGGTGGCACCTCGGCTCTGCCCGCAGGGACCCCAGCGCTGAGGCGCATTACTTCTAGCCCACTGGAGTCCCAACTGCATAAGGAGGGGTCCCTTGTCCGGGCACGGACGTGGCAGGCAAGGTACTAATGCAAGACGACGGCTGTTTGGAGCATCTCGTGGGATTCAGCCAGCCTCTTCCCACAGCCCAGCAGAGCTGGCCAGCCACTCCAGCCAGGGAGAGCTGATGCTGGGAGCAGAGCCTGGGACAGAGGGCACAGGGAAGAGGCGGAAGACGAAGTGGGAGGGAATGTAGAGCTAATGCTGGGAGACCAGCCAGGGGAGATAGAGGCAAGGGAGAGCGGGGAAGGCTGCCTCCTTGCCACCGCCCCCGGGCCACCTCCAGCTCGCAGGCGGGCTGCACACCTGTCATGCCCTGCAGGGATGCTCTCAGTCCATCCCCTCAGACACGCAGCAGCAGGAACATCCTATGCTCGTCCTGACACCACTGTGGTTGCACCAAGTGAGGAAAACCCCGAGAATGGGGCAGCAAAGAGGCAGTGGTGCCCGAGGGTGCCGGCCAGGCTGGCAGCACAGCCTCCAAGCTCAGGGCAGGGGTCCCAGGTCCCCTCTGGTTCCTCTCACCCGCCCTCATACACTGCAACCATGCAACGCCCAGCCTGCTTGCCCTGCTGGGTGGCTGAGGATGGTCCTGTCTGGCAGAGGGTTATCGGCGATGAGACTGCCCAGGGGAGGAGTAGCAGGAATTTGAGCTCAGGGAACCCTCTGGCTTCACCCTGCTCTGTTCGGATGTTTACTAATCAAGTGGCCCCCTGATGGGCAGCCAGCCTGTGGCAGCCACTGCAGCGCTGAGCTCACGCTCACAGCAGCCAAAGCGTGAAGTCAGCAGAAAGCCTTCCCAGGCAGAGGCAGCTCCCTGAAAAGGGGGAAAAGATGCTGGAGGGCTCCTGGCACCCGGCTGCAGCTTCGGGAGAGGGTCCCTCGCCAGGTTGGGTGCTTTCAGGCCAGCCCAGCTGGCAGGACCAGAGGGGGTGACCACTTCTTGGTAGGCTGAGTATGAAACAGGCTGGAGATGTCCTGGAACAGCTCTCAGCGGGCTGGAGACCTACACAGCCACTGCCACTCCAGCCCACAGCACCTGCAGTCTGGCTCGCTGTGGAGCCACACTATCTCTGATTTGGGATACAGCTTCCTATTGCTGCTGTCTGGAGATAGCAGAGGTGTGGGTGCCAATGTCACCCACATCTTCCCTTCCCACGAAGGGAAGGTCTCAGGAGTGACTGAGCACACCTTCAGCATTGCTGTCTCTCTATACCACCACAGCCCAGCCCCACAGCATCACCAGGGGGTCTAAAAATCACAACAGATTTCATTCTGACATCTTTCTCTCCGCCTCCTGGCTCCTGAGCATTTAGTTCACCCTCAGACCAGATTTTCCAGCTTTTTCTTTTCCCCTGCAAATGTTGGGGTAGAAACAGAAAGCATGACAGGACACCTCACCTCCAGGAGCAAGGACCACAGGAAGGACCCGACTGCCTGGTTGACGGGAAGGACCAGCCCTGATGGACCTCTCTGTCCCTCCCCAACAGCAAACCCCACTCTCTCCCACCTCTGCTGGCTGCGCAGATCCACCATCGCCCAAAGCATCCTCCAGGGCCACCTGCATCCATGTCTTGCTGTGGGATCCCCATGGGATCCCTGCATCCCTCGGTGGCTCTGCCACAGCAGCTCCTGCTGACCAGCAAGGTGATGAGCAAAGCCCCCTCCAGATTTGGCCCAGGGCAGGGGACCCCCTGCTCTGGTGGCTGTCCTGCAAAGGGATGTGCCGTGGGGACAGCTGCCTGCGGGCAGGGTGCTACAGCCCCTCGCCCAGGCTCCGCAGAGGGCAGCTGTGCTGGATGCGTTTCCAAGGCAACAGACAGGCTGCCTGCCCAGGGATGCGCTCAGAAGGCAGGCTGGGGTGAGCATGGTGGGGACACTCCAGAGCTGGGCATGGTAGCAGCTGGTTAAGGCTAGTGTCCCCACACCCTGGGCTCCGGACACGTCCCAGCACACCCAGGCCACCGTGTGCTCTGGCTGATTCTGGAGCTCCAGTACCCAAGCCATCTCTCCAAAGGTCTGCAGTGTGGCATTGCCCCTTCCCCAACTCCCACCCTCCAGAGAAGGTGGTCAGACTGTGTCCACACACCCACTGCAGGAAGAGCCACGGCCCCAAGAGACCAAGGGTAGCATGACAAGGGTGCAGGATGATGAAACTCCCACGCCTCCCCAAGGCATGCATCTCGGGGCGGGACGCATGCAGTCCCTATTACAGACTGGGACGGGCTGGCCGCAGCCCCAGGACTCACCTCCAGGACCCTGCCACTGATGTACCGGTCGCAGGTCTCACACTTGATGCCGAACTGGGCATGGTAGTCGGTCTCACAGTACGGGATGCCATCCCTTTGGGAGAGGGAGGAGAAGGGGGTGAGCAGCAGGTGAGCCAGGCTGGGCACCCCTTTGCTGCAGCCCCAGCCCCCGGGGGTGCAGCCCAGCAACGGCCGGCATGGCCAAGTCTGCCGCCAACACAGCGGCACTTACTTGCTGATGTACTCGCCGGTGAGGATAATCCCACATGTTTGGCACTTGAAGCAGCTGACGTGCCACTGCTTCTCCAGGGCCAGGAGGGACTGGCCTTGCTTGATCTCCTCCTTGCAGCCTGCGCAGTCTGGGGGGACAGAAGGGTGGGGGAGCACATGAGACCACCGCAGCTCCCCAGCGGGGGGCTCAGTAGTGCGGCAGGAACACCCACATCTGCTGGCCCACACCAAGGAAGCCTGGCTGTTTAACCCAGTGCACCCCTCGCTCTCACAGGAAGCTCTGCCCCAGAGGACCTCCTTTTCTAGGGGATGCTGCTGTGCTAAAAACCCTGCTCCTGAGACCACTCCGGGGGCAGCCCCTTGGGGATCATTTCTTCATAGGGAATCATTTCTTTACGGGAATATGCCACCTCTGCTTGTTCCCAGCAAAGGAGCCAGGAGGAAAGCCTCCTGCTGGAGCTGGGACCTCTGAGGCACCGCCAGCACCCAGCCACCCTGGCTGAGCTCCCGCCGCAGCACAGAGCCGGGTCTCCCTGCCGGGCAGCAAGCTCAAGCCAGGGTGAGTGCATGGGCTGCCAGGGCCGTGCTGCCCTGGCAGGTCCCTGGGGGCTCCCCTCCAGGGCGGGAGCGATGGGAAGTGTCCAGCAGCAAGCGCAGCAGAGGAAGGGCTGTGCACTCCGGCAGCCGCGTCCGGCCCTGCTGCAGTGTTTACGAGACTCCCTTCCTTCCCTGCTTCCCCTGGCTCCCGTCAAGGCTGGGATCAGGAAGCACATGGGCCTCGGACCCCTGACCTTGACTCCTCCTTGTCCTCTTCTCCCCCTGGGCAGCAGGTTTGCCCGGATGGGGTTTCTCCTTAACTCCCTCCCTGCCGCCTCCCTCTCTGCCGTGGCACCACAGAGGTGCAGTAGCACCGCACAGGCAGCCCAAGCAGGCAGGCTTTTCCACTGAACCCATCTCCAGGCAGCTCTGCACCAAGTCCCTGCCCGCTGGGCAAAGCTAAGGGGGGGGGGGCCGATTTTTGACCCCTGGCAAAAAGTAGGCTCTCCAGCTCAGGTGAGCCAGGATCCGCTCCCTCTCTCACACAAGCGGTGCTGGTTTTTTTGTTGCTGGCAGGGCTGGGGCTGCAGGGAGAGGCTCAGCATCCTTCTTCTAGGAATGTCCTTCCTGCAGAGTGCACCAGTGTGGGCTCCAGCAGGCAAACCTCCCCTGCCACCCTGTCTGGGTGGCACTGCCAAGGCACCTGGGCTGCAAGGGGCACACGCAGGCAGCAGGCTTCATCTGGCTGCTGCCTATGAATAAAGCATGGTGCCCTCAGGTAACCCTGCTCTGCAGGCCAGGGAGGAGCACTGGCGGGAAGGGGATGGGAAGGGAGAGGAAGGCAGGCAAGAGGAAGAGCATGCAGCTGCCTTTCCCCTGCCCTGCTATGAGAGACGGCACGGTGCTGTGGGCTGGCCACAGTCTGCCTCTGGGCAGCTCAGGGTGCTGATGGAGGAAGATGGGGGAAGCCCCAACCTCTGGCTGGGGCTCATTCAAACCTCGCCACGTCCCCTAACTGCACCAAGGCCATGGTGAGAGCTGGGCGGAGGCAGCTTGGGGAAGCTCCCAGGGACCCATCAGCACCAACTCATAACTCAATCCGAACAGTCACCACCAGTGCCACCAGTGACCGGTTGACAAGGACCATGGGTGACACCACCGTCCTGGGTCCGGCCCTGGCTGCAGGGCTCGGCTCCAGGCACTGATGCTTCAGGGCCTGCTGAGCCGCAGCAGCAAGGGCTCCCGCCCGGCACCCCCACAGCTCAGCCCGCTGATGTGGCAGGGTTTGGGCGCCACGGTGTGGCACATTTCCCAGCTCTCCCTGCCTTCTGCCACCTGCCCATGCACTGCGCTGAGACAGCTCCCCTGGGACTTGACAGCAGCAAACACGGGGCATATGGGAGACAGCGAAGCACAGATGTTAACGCTGCAGTCCCCTCACTCCAGACACGGGCTGAAGCAAGCCCTGCATGCAGCAGCTCCATGCCGCAGGGATGCTCTGCCAGCCCCCCAGCACAGCACCCACAGGATGCTCCGCAGTGGCCTGGGGCAGAGAGCCAGCAGCAAGGAAAGACTGGGGGGGCAAAGCCCCATGAGAGGGGAATGGCATGAAGAGGGTATCCCAAGGAACAACCTGGGGTCAAAACCAAGGCCAAATCCACCCAAAAGAGCCTGTTCATTGCTCTTGCTGAGTTTTAGCTTAGGTTCATCAGCGCAAGGGGGCAAGCGTAAGAAGCCTTTTCAGTGCTTGTAGAGGCAGCAAATAACGCCAGCGTTGGGAAAGCCGGGCGAGCGGTCCCAGGGCTGGCACTCGGAGATCTCGGTGCAGCTGGACACAAAGCAACATCTGGGCACCGCCTCAGAGCAAACCCAGCTCCAAAACCTTCCCACTGCCCCAGACAGTGCCTGCTGGGGTGGTGGCGGCACCCGCCCAGGTCACAAACAGGCCAAGGGAGTTTCCGAAACCAGCGGTGACCTGCAATCCCGGGTGGAGCCACAGGACTACCCTGTTCCTTCTCCAAAACCTCTGCGAACACCTGTGGCTCTGTGCAGTGCTGCACACTGGCCCCAAAGCCCGTCCCATCACCTCCCCGAGCACCGGTCCAGGGGCAGGCGGTCCCTTTCCTTGCAGCCATCACATAACACAAGAGCAGTCAACTTACGGCTGGGCCCATGGATCTTGATAGGTTTGGTGCTGATGAGAGAATGGGAGCAGTTTTGGCAGACACAGTCCTTCCCGCTGAACGTGACCTTGTCTCCGATGGGGAATGGCTTCCTGCAGCCAAGGAAAAGGTGGGGAGGCGTGAGCCGCTCACTCCTCTCCATGCAGCGCTTGGGCTGCCCGTGAGCTCCTTCCCCCAGGGGCCAGTGGGACCCATGGTGCTGGGGAGCGGAGGGGCTCCAGGTGAGGGCTACAAGGGGAGGCAGGGAGTGTGCAACATGTGCCGGGGCAGAAGGACCAATGCAGGCGTTAAGGCAGGTCTCCAGGCTGCAAAGGGAAGGATCGGAGCCATTTCATTGCTCCCAAGGGTTTCCACTAAGAAAACGCAGAGGAGGTGCCTGCTGCGGTGCTGAGCAGGGAATGAGGGGCTGCGGGCTAATGAACACCCTGCTCCCCGGTACATGGCCAAGGGCTGCACGGGGCTTCTGCAAGGGGGTTGTGTGCCCTCAGTGATGGCTTCAGCTCACCTGCAGGTGCTACAGACGAAGCACTTGGGGTGGTAGGTCCTACCCAGGGCAGAGATGACCTCTCCAGTGATGAAGTCCCCACAGCTGTCGCAGCGGGTCCCATAGAGCTGCTGGTAGTCGTGGGTGCAGATGTACTCCTGGTTCTTAAAGAAGAAGCCCGACTGGGCCAGGTCGCAGCCGCACACTGCAGGGGGAGGACACGCACCCATCAAGGGGGCAACAGGCAGGTCTAGCCCCGGGGCGCGGCCGGGATCTCTGAGCCCACCTCTGCTGTATCTCAGAGGGTTTCCCTTCCCACCAGCCACACTGGGGCCTTCGCCCAGCACCACAAGATGTCAGTGTTGGGCTGTGGCAGGGTGCAGGATGGTGCTGCCCAGACAGCCAGAGCTGGGCACTTCCAGAGGGAACCCCAGTGCAGGGAGAGGAACCCCTGCAGACCCCACTCGCCTTGCACAAACAGCCCAGGAGGGTCCGTGGCATCCCCTCCTGGACCCATGGCACCTGGATGGGGCTCAGCCCCTCCATTTGACACTCACATGGTGTTGTGAAGCCAAGAACAAGAATGCAAAGAGTTGGGCATGCCCTAGGGACAGATGGGGAGAGGTCTTCTCCACGCCCTGGGGCACGGCCTTCTCCATGATGAGCCATCTCCACTCCCTGGCCTGGACACAAAGCCGTGCCCTAATGGGAACAGGTCCTGGGACACACTGGGATTGGTGTTCTCACTGCTTGTTTTTCCATAGGTGTCCAGCCCAACCTCGCTTCCTTCCCTGCTGTGGGAACCGTGGGTGGTGCACAGCCCGTCAGAGTAATCCAAGGAGATGTGGCAAGCCCTGGCCCTTAATATCATTTCCCTCCTACATCTTCTCCATCCACAGAGAGACCTCGAGAGTATCAGACCCTGGAAGGCACCTCAGGAACAGCACAGGGACCAGGTCCTGAGGCCTTTGCACAATGCCCATCACCTGTCCCGCAAGGTGACAGGATGGAAGGGGGAACTACAGAGCAACTGAGCACCTGCTGGCACAGCCCATCTTGGTCTCTGCTTTACCCTTCACCTGCAAGCACCCCTCTGTCCTGTCCTCACACACCTCACCTGCACCCATGGGCCAGCCTGCACAGCAGCCACCCTCCCCAGGGCCCACAGCAGAGATGAAGCTCCTCTCCCACAGAGCATCCCCTGCAAAGCTGCTCCCCGGAGCTGTGGGCAGACAGCCAGGGGGTACAGGGCCAGCACCTGCTGCTCTCTGAAACAGCCTGCCAGCATTTCCTCATCAGTGACGAGGGATAGGCCACCAGCTCTGGCACAGTATTAGGAAGCAGAAGCAAGAAAAACCAAGGCAGGTCTGGGCCCCGTTTGGTGTGGGACCTGGAGCACATCCCCAGGGGCTGCACCAGCTGTGCCAGGCTCCCGGGGACACGTCGGTGACAAGCTGTGGGGCTGGCATGAGAGCTGGCAGCAGCCAGCCTGAGGTGGCGGGGGGGGGAAGAGCTGTGAGGGAAGGTGAGACAGGAGGATTTCCTCTCATTATTTATTCCCTTTCACTTGAAAATCAGGCAGCAAGCACTGCCAAGCTCTCCCTGCTGGTTCCTGGCCCCTTTGAAGCCGGCGGCTGTCTGACCTCTGTCTGGATGTGCAGCTCCTGCTCGCTCCTGCACACCGAGCTGGGAAGCGGCTCGGCACAGTGCCCTGCACATGTAGGTCAGCCCCGAGGGCAACCTGGGGCCCACACCCCCTCCCAGAGATCTGGGGCTGCCCACACCATGGGCTACAGGGCTGCAGCAGGGGTGGTGACAGCCCAGGGGAAGAGTCCCCTCCAGCCAAACCCTCTGTCCTCGGGGGAGGAAGAGCAAAGCATGGCCAAGGGGACAGGGATTTATGTCCTGCTTAGCACAAGGTGCTGGGAGCTTGGAAGACCAGAGACCTTTAAAACGCCCTGGTAATGGGATGCTTTACAACCTACAGAAGTGGCCACTGGCCTGGTTGAGAGCGGCTGCTTTAATAAACACGCTAAGGAGCCCTTCAGCATCAGCTCTGGGCCGTTAGCTTTTACCGCTCTGCAGCTCTCTCTCATGCTCAGGGAGGATTTGAGCAACCTCTCCAGCCCCCGGGGGCCGCTGAGCCCCAGCTGCAGCACACGGCATCCCATGGCACGTTGGTCGCATCCCACGCGCGGGTGGCAGCAATCTGTCACCTGCCCCCAGCCCCATCAAGAGCTGCTCCGGGCATCTCCCCCACCTCACTGCCTCTCAGCCAGGCTGGTGACACCTCCTCCTCCTCCTCCTCCTCTCACTTTGGGGGCAGGCAGGCAGATGAAGGACGTGGTGGCCCCCCAAGATCACAGATAGGCTGTGGGTATGTTTGGGACCGGTGCAGTGTGGGCTGTTGGCATTTAGGCAGCTTGAGGGTAGTGACAGTGCCCAGGTCTCGGACACCCCTGTTCAGAGCCTGCCAGCTCTGGCATCACACAGGGGCATTGCCTGCACCGTGCCAGCCCCGTACCGTTGCCTCCCTGCAGCGCACCACATCCATCCCTGCAGGAAGCTGCCAGCCCCGGGCATGTGACCACATGTCAGGGGGCCAGGTAGGTCTGTCCCCAGCTTTTTGCTTTCCAAACTGCAGCTGGAGCCATGGTGCAGCCTGGCCACCAGCTCTTTGGGTGGCACCGTCCTACCTTGGCAGGTGAAGCAGCGGATGTGGAAGTGATTGCTCTGGACGCGCACCACCTCTCCCTTGCAGGTGTCCCCGCAGCGGTAGCACTGGATGACAGTGGAGCTGCTCCCGGGCGTGTAGGGGTTTTGCTGATAGGGAACTGCTGGCAGAAAGGAGGGAGGGAAAAGCGAGAGAGGGGAAGAGTCTGTTAGCATTCAGGACACAGCCGGGCATCATGGCACTGACCTCAGCTGGGCAGCTGCAGAAGAGCCCTCCGGCGACTGCGACACAGCAGCCAGACATCAGGCCATCGCTAAGTGCAAAGGAGAGCTGAGACCATGCCAGCATGCGGTGACTCTGAGCTGGGTGCACATCCCTGTCTGGATTTGGGATTTCCCTGTCCCCACAAAAGAGCCTCTACCCATGTTTGGCTCACAGGTCTGCAGTCCTAAGTGCTGTGCAGTGCAAGTGCCTGGGCACTGCTCCCTGTCCCTGCATGGATAACCAGGCCACCTGCACCATCGCTCCAAAGCCATGCAGAGCTCCTCAGATGCTCTCCTATCTCCTGATCAGGTGCAGAAGTACAACTCAGGGACCAGCTACCCACCAGCTCTGCTCCACTCAGCCCTCGGGCAGTCCTGGCTTGCTGCTGACCTGCTCAGAAACACACCAGCGAGCTCCGATTTGGCAGCAGCACGGGAAGGAACTGTTGTTTTTTGGAGCTTCCACTTGTTTGGTTAGGAACTGGATGAAGAAGTCATTTTTCAAGGAGCTTTCAAACATTGCAGCAATTGAGTGTTTGGCCCTGGTGGGACTCTCACCTCCTCAGTGAGGAGCAGCATCCCAGCCCCGCTGCTCCTTCCAGAGCAGCACCACTGCGTGTGCAGGCTCTGCGCTGAGCCGGGCGCTGCAGGGGAGGGGAGGGCAACATGGCTCCCCCAGCTATGGGCAAGAAGCTGACCTTCTGCTGCAGACAGTCCTGAGACTCACCTCCACTCCTTATCCCCCTCCAGCAGCTCTGCAGACCACCACGAAGGGCTGATGTTCTGCAGCCTTGCCCCACACTCCAGGAGAAGAATCGTACGGAAAGGGGGTCTTTCTGCTCTCTCAGCACAATCCCCAAACACACAGAGAAAACACGTCAAAGAGCAACTCCTGCTTTCCCTGCCCCACCTGCAAGTGCACAGGCAGCATGCTTGCAGGAGCTCCGGGCTGCCTGATGCCATGCTAACTGCTACAGGCAGGGGCCAAGCAGCAAAGGACTTGTTTACTGTAAGATTTCAGAGAGGGAGTTCCAATTTGGGCAACTCAAGCAGTGAAGGGCAGGATTTCAATGGACTGGAGCCTTTCTGACCCAGTGCTGAACTGCATTCCCAGGAACAAGAGAAGAGGCTGATTGAAACCCGGTATGTGAACTCCCTCCAGAGCAGGGAGGAAGGGACACAGGACAGAGGAGATCACTCATCAGAGAGGCTCCTCGTTCACTGTGGGGCAGATCGTGTGGCGGGGAACAGAAACAGCCCATTATTGGCTTCAAAAGCAAAGAAAGAGAAATCAAAATGACATTGAGACTGTCTTACAGTAAAATCCCATCCCATATGCCAAGCGCCCAGAGACACACTCTACAGCTGTGCAGCACTGCTCACCACTGGGAAAACAGGCTGACACTCCCTGACCGCTGCTCCATCCCCTGGGGCCATAAACCTGGGGGACTGGAGCTGCTGGGGACTGGCTGCCTTGCCAAGTCCGACCTGAGGGCTGCAAGGAAAGCCAAGGTGCCTTCCTGCGAGTGCCTCCCAGACCCTGCAAAGCTCAGGCTCCAGCCTTGACGTGAACTTCCAAGAGTTGCTGGAACTTCCCTCCTGATTGTGCTCTTGCAGGCCAAAAGCTCTCAGAGGCCAACAGAGGTACTTGAGGTACTAAAGGGTACGGCAGTGCCAACAGAAGTGCTATAAAACAGGAGTCAGGCCTGGAGCTCCGACCAGCAGATGCTAACTAGTCTAGATCTAAATCACCCTGAGGTCTCAAATACGATGAAGGACACCTGTAAAGGGAGCAGAGTGCCCCACCCATGCTTTTGCAGGCATGTTTTGCAGGGAGGCACAAGCCTTGGGAAGAAGGGCTCCAGGACCCCCTTCAGTGGCTACTGCTGGCAGGCGCCCACGAACTCTGCAGCAGCCCAGTGGGACCCAGGTCTGACCCCAACAGGATCTCCTGAGGCTGGAATAAGTGGGGGATCTCTTCTATAGGGGTCTCCAGCAGAGCAAGAGTTACAGCACTGAAATTTCCTCCCACACACCCTGTGCTCGCACCCTCGCCGAGAACGAAGCAGAAGCCAAGCCCTGGGACACAGCCATGGCAATCAACAAAGCTCGGAGAGAAAAGCAGGAGGGAAGGGAGGGTGAAAGGCTGGGAATTAATCAACACTTAAACAAACATTAGTAATTAAAAAAAAAAGGGGAAGAAAAAAAAAATCAATGTCAGAAAATGCAAGCACCACTTATTCTGGGCTTCTGGTCTCTAGGGGAAACTTCTTGGTGTCCATAGCAACACATCACCAAGCCCCTGCACTGGCAGGTCTGATGGGAGGGAAGGCAGAGGAAAAGGAGTCCAGGATAGAAGAGATGCTCATAGCTGTGTTACATCATTGGCAGAGATTAAACCGATACGGTCACTCCTATTTGTACCCATGGAGATGGGTCAGGACCCAGCTTAGGGCACCATCGCCCTCCCGCCTGCTGGCTTTGTTCAGCACTAAGCCGAAAGCTCCCCGATTTGTGATTAACCTCCGGCCCATGCTGGAATTTTGCTCTGGGAACATTAATGCATTGTTTTGCTGGGGCTCTGCTTGTTTTTGAGCAGGCAGCTGCCCGCCTCGTGGCCTCGTGCAGGAAGTATTACACATCACAACACCCCTGAGCAGAGGGACAGCTGAGCAGGGCAAAGCTTATTACACCAAAATAATCCAGTAATAATGTAAGTAGCATTAGTGGCCTTGCAGGCCGAGATACAGCAGTTGGGGTGAGGGGTTGGGAGCTGCCCAAGGAATGCCTTAATCTCACCCCAGTTTACTCCCGCTTTTGCTGGTAGAGCGGGAAATTAAGCTGGCTTCACTCAGCAATTAATGCAGTTGTGCTCCACAATGCATCACAAAAGGCTGCCCAGGGCCGGGTTCCTGCAGGGCTGCCCCCATGTCCTGGCTGGTGCTTGATCTGCAGAGTCTGATGAGCCGCTGTGGCCACAGCCAGGCAGCAAGCTGCCGCGCAGGGCTGCATGGGCATGCAACAGATTTCCCACTGATCCGGATTAAGGTGGCACCTCTGGTCAGGGATTGGTGCCCTGCACAGGACAAACAGTGGCAGCCATACGCAAGCAAGGGAGCTTGCGACCTGGTGGTGGGAGAGACAGTGCCCCCAGACAACCCAAGGCTGTGTAGAGGAGCTTTGTCCCCTGGGAGGGCAGAGGGACCTTGCCCAAGAGATCCTCCAAGCCATGCTGCAGTGACCAATCTGCAGGTTCCTGCTGCGCATCCCCAGGCAATCCTCCTCCTTCATTCCCAGAGCACCCACCTTCTGCTTTGGGAGGGTCAACAGTCTTGTTTGCCTTCCTGTCCTCTTCCTGCACAGCATCCCAGCCCTCCACCAAGGAGCAGCAGGACAGGGGAGTGCTGAACCCTCATACTGCCTCTGAAATGCTTTAAGCCCTTCAGGAGGGGGGGACTGATGGGAGATGATCCCCATCTACCTTGGAGGGATGGCAGCTCAACACCAGTGCAGATAACAGGGCACAGCCCCCCAGGGTGGGCTCAAGGCTGAAAGGCTCACACAAAGCAAGCATCCACCAGCTGCTTGGGACCCCCACCCAGACAGCCCCACATACCACAGCAGCAACCTAGAACCAAGTTTCCAGGAGCACAAGCTGCAAAGAACAAGGGACACAGCAGTATTTATAAAGATCCATCCATCATCCCTTACTGGGATCAGACCAGGTCCTGCTGGTTTCCCACCTGTCTCCCTCTCCCAGCCCATTAGCCCTCCAGGAAGGTCAGTTAGGTAGAAACTGTTGCAGGTGGGGTTTGCATCATTAGCAACAGGTAACTGGAAGCTCCCACCCAGCTTGGAAAGTCTTCCCTGACACTGTGTTTGCTATCAGCATGTTTATGAGACAGCATCTCCACAGGGGGATGGGGAGGCCTGATTTAATTAATTACCAGTAATCAATATTTGCACAATGGTCGGAGAGCCACAGGTGAAGGGGACTGTGGAAAAGCAAAGCATTCACCCTTTAATTAATAACGAGAGGTGGTGCCACTCTGGGAAGCTGACGCGGGTGGGTGCCAGAGCGTGGGAGGGGGTGCAGCTGGGGCTGAGTGATGCACGTGCAGCAAGGTGTGAGCAAGCGGGTGCTGGCTGCATGTAGGGGAGATGTCCCCACTGGGTGTTGTGAGTGTCAGCATGGGGTCCAGCTCCAGGGGGTGCTGGGTGTGTGCCTGGGTGAGACCCGAGTTGGGGTGGATGCCAGGAGGTGAGGGGGAGCAACAGCAGTGTGTCAAGGCGGACGATGCTGTCAGGATTCCTCACACCTCCATGAGGCTGAGCCCCCTTTCAGCAGCCGCTGCCTCCCACTCCTCCCTGCTGCCTCACAGTGAACGATTCACCACAGTCATCCTCTGCACGCTCCCTGCACTAACTGGGGCTGTAAATCATCCTCTCGCAAAAACCCACTGGGGGTGGTGGGACCAGCGTGGCACAGGGGGCACACGGGATGCGGCTCCCCCAGGAAGGGTGAGGGGAGCTGGGCACCCCCACCGGGTACCCAAACCCAGAGGTGGGCTCAACTGGCAGACCCTGCACCCTCATCTCCCTAGGGAAGGGCTGATGCCACGGCACTGGGCGAAGGCAAGGAGGGGGCTGGGAACGTGGTGGGGGCCAGGGCAGCTCAGGAAGAGGAAGCCCGGCCCCGCCAGTGTGCTGGCCCCAGAGGCGTCGAGGCCGAGGGGCGGCAATGACTGGCCAGAAAGGAATTTTGCTGGAAGCGCTGGAGGCTGAGGGAGAGGCTGGGGTGAAGCATTGGTGATGGGACACAATGTGCTGGACTGGGGGCGGAGAGCGGGAGGGGGCACGGAAGAAACCCCTGCTAGGATGTGGGAAGAAAGAGGTG